CACACACACACACACACACACACACACACACTTGTATTTGCATCAAACTGAGGACATTGTATTGACTTCCATTCATTTTTTCTAACTGTATTTATGCCTAACCCAGACATTTTCCCTAAAACTAACCATTACTGGTCTATACTTAACCCTAACCTAATCCAAAACTTAATCTACACCATACATCTAAACCAGAAGTGCCCAATGTGGGGCCCGCGGGCCAAAATTGGCCCGCCTAGCCATTTGATTTGGCCCACCAGCAGTTGTTCTGGTTATTAGATTGTAATTATGCTAAGATTAAATATAAAATACAAGTAACTACAAGAGACATTTAGATTATATTTAAGCCATATATACATTTGCACACCTTATAAGACCACATATACTCAAATTTTAAATGATGAAAAGTCCCATGAGTCTTTGCTGCCTGAGCATTAGTTGAATTTTCTCCATGTCCATGGGCTGAAAAAAATAAACTAAAGAATGTGGACAACCACATTGGCTGCTAGCTTAATCATAAAAAATAAAACAACTTTACTTAAGTATTAAGCATTTTTTTTATTATTGCATTTGGCCTGCGGCCCTCAGATTGAGTTTAATTTTGGCCCTCTCAGGGAAAATGTTTGGGCACCCCTGATCTAAACCTAACTAGTAAAGTACAGTAGAGCAGAAAACAAAGTGAGGACTGGGAAAATGTCCTCACTCTGTAGGCAAAACAAGTACACACACACCTCTCATGAGTTCAGTGTGCTGCTAAGAGCCGGATCTAACAGTGTCTTTATGAGACAACATGAAGGAAAATATGGGCTCTTTGTCACAGACAGACTGAGCTTTTAATAACCCTTTCTTACAAATAMAGAAGAAAAAGCTCATTTTCAAACATATTTAGCTTCAGAGGAGCCTTTCTAGTCTGATGAAAAGAGTCCTTCAAATTTCGGCTTTTTCCTTATGTCCCTGTAGTTAAAACAGTCATCGGTGAAAGTTCAAAATATGGAAACAGAGACTTAATGAAAGAATCAGTGTCTCTGTGTGTTTTTTTCTTCTTGTTTATCTGAGGCAGGAAGAGTGGGGACAAAAGGGGAGATAATAGAAAGCAATTGTTGCTTTTTTGAGTCTGAGGATAAAGAAAAAAAAAGGTTTTGGTGTTCAGATTTCACACAGGAGGCAATTCTCCACGTTTGCGCTACACAGTCCTGGAATGCTTTTAGTTAAAACCACTTAACGCTGACCTGTGAATCATTCAGGGATTAAAACAGAAAGAAAAAGTCTCTAAACTCAAGATGAAGCAGTTTGGTATCAACACATACTGTAAGTTTGATCTCATCACTTCCAGAAACATTACGTTTTGGGGAATTCATGAACTGTTTTTTTTTCTTCCTGTCAGTAACAGATCCCATTGGAGCTCGCTAAAATTCAAAACGTGACAAATAGTTTGATAAAACTGACGTACCTTCTGGTTGTTTTCCTACTAATCTCAACAATCGCCTGATCAGCCTGGGGGTGCATTCCCTCTTGCGCCCACCTCCTGGAAAGCTGGTTACAGTCCTATAAACCTTAAAAATACTATATATTGTTAGCTGTAGTCAGAAGAACATGAAGGCGCTTGGAGATTATATGACCTTTAACATGGATGCTTTTAACCTTTCCTGAGCTTCTCAGATCTGTTTTTTCTGCAGCGTGTGCACACTGCTCAGCTGCCCTATCGCTTGTTTATGCCTTTTAAACAGGCTGAATGTTGGGCGAAAAGCTGAAGGCACCTGTAATGCTGATTAAGGTCAAAACTATCAATAACACAAAGATTAAAACTGTCTACCCATGTGTTCATAATGTTTTGGCAATAAAAGAAAACAGTTCCTCTTAAACAAAAAGGACGCAGATATAGCTACAATAGACAACTTTTAGCTGAATCACTTTACATTAAAATGAAGTTTTTTTTCCCACTAACTGTTTGAATCAAACGATGCACACTGAGAACCAACAGAAACTCTTTGCAGTTCACCCACTGTTCCGTTTGAACCCCTCAGGCCCCAGGAGTTACCTCACCTCCACCATGACCGACCGCTTCGACTGCTACTACTGCCGCGACAACCTGCACGGGAAGAAGTACGTGAAGAAGGACGAGAAGCACGTGTGCACCAAGTGCTTCGACAAGCTCTGCGCCAACACCTGCGCCGAGTGCAGGCGCCCTATCGGAGCCGACGCAAAGGTAGAGTCGAGAAGAATCAAAGATAAAAACACAGATTTGTGGCAAAACATCAGCAGAGGATCAAATCGTTGCCGTTGCTCGGTGTTACATCACCGTTTTGAGGTTCGAACTCTTTAGCGATCAGCATCTTTTGATGTTTTTGTGCTCCTAAGATGACAGGTTGTTTAGTGTCGTCACAACTTTAACGGCACGTTTCTAATCCAAGTCTAATCCAAGCTCTTCAAAACATGGTGGTAAACATGGTGTTGGAACATTTGTATACTTGTATAGACAGAACAAAAYAACATTATGTGTCAACACAAGGTTTAAGAACATGGACAAAGGCACAACAACATATTTTTGGCACAAATGGAACCCCATAAACTCTCGCATCCCTCAGCATCTCTGGATCCTGGCCTCTCATCCACACGATGAGTGGAATCAAACTCAACTTTGACGAAGACGCTGAGCGGACAACTTGTTTACCTTCAAACCCTTTTTGTGTTCAGGAGCTGCACCACAAGAATCGCTACTGGCACGAGGATTGTTTCCGCTGCGCCAAATGCTACAAGCCGCTGGCCAGCGAGCCGTTCAACGCCCGGGACGACGGCAAGATCATGTGTGGCAAGTGTGGGTCGAGGGAGGACGGAAACCGCTGCCAGGGCTGCTACAAGGTGGTGATGCCAGGTGGGTCTGCTGGTGGTCCTGAGGTTTGCTTTGACTTGAAACAACCATCTACAAACGAAAAAGGGGGAATTATACTTTATGCAGAACATTTGGTTAACATGCAGTGTCTGTATGTTTGATTTAGGRGCCAAGAATGTGGAGTACAAGGGCAAGATGTGGCACGAGGAATGCTTCAAGTGCTTTGAATGCAATCAGCCAATCCGTACGCAGAGCTTCGTTACCAAAGGTGATGACATCTACTGCCCTCCATGCCACGAAAAGAAGTTTGCCAAGAAGTGCTTCCACTGCAAGCAGGTGCACGTTGYCCCACGTTTCCTACAAGAACTCCTGTTCTTGTTCTAAAGCTCGACCTCATCAGAACGTTTCRGGTTTCGTTTTGTTCCGACACGACGCTCTCTCTGCCTCTCTTTTTTTCAGCCCATCACCTCTGGAGGGATCAGCTACCAGGACCAGCCCTGGCACTCSGAGTGCTTTGTGTGCCAAACCTGCCGCAAACCTCTGGCAGGGACTCGCTTCACCTCCCACGAGAACCACGTTTACTGCGTGGACTGCTACAAAACCGACGTGGCCAAGAAGTGCAACGGCTGCAAGAACCCAATCACAGGTTGGTGCCACAGGCCATCGGGATACACACAACACATTTAGGCTGGCTGCTAGCAAYGTCACCATCCTGGTAAGCTAGACAACTATGTCTTCAAATCAAACTGAATCCAGGTATTTTTATACTTTTATAAAAAACAAAAGAGGTCTGAGCATATTCTAGATGTTTTTGAAGGCTGATTCTTGCGGTTGACATTTCCAAGCCTTACCAACATTCKACACTCAACTCTTCTGTTTGAGGTCTTTTGTGTTAATTCTGAACTGAAGTGGGAATTCTGATGGGAAATTCCCACTGGAGGGCTGTCCCTATTTAAATTTACAATTTGTAGATGAAAAATTCCCACTTCCCAGTACAACTGGGCCGCAGCAAAATGAACCAATAAAAACACAGCAAAAACATTTTCACCGCAGATTTTGCTACTTTTGAACCCTGTACACCTCTGCCTCGTGGTGGGATGTTTTCATTTTGTGGGTAAAACAATCAACATACGTTATGGGAGATGCAGTTTAAGTGCCGGCTTTAWAGCAGCTTGTGCTTATTTTAAGACATTAAGCATTGTAGCTCCTGCGGGCCACATAAAATATTGTGGTGGGCCACATTTGGCCTGCGGGCCTTGAGTTTGACACATGCACTTTAATTCAAAATAACCATCATGAACTAGGCTAAGTTAAAAATATACCTAGAATGTCAAATGTTTACGCTGGTATTTAATGACAAAGTACTTGGAAGTGTGACGTCACACAAGAGCTGTGTGTAACCAGCTGCTGAAACCAAGCGCTCCCTTTATATGTCCCTCACTTCCATGTAAATTAATGGAACATAATTCTCTCATAATATACACTTTTTACATGCCTTCTAGCATATGTGATGTAACTATGGAGGACTGAAAGTGACAATAAAAAATAAAGGCAGAAATATAAAAATGGCACAATAAATAAATAAAACGCACCAGTTAATTAAAAAAAAACTTCACCTCATTTTTAAATTTATTTGACCTTCATGTGTATTTTTCCAGCTTATTTCCATCAAATATATTTTAGCACATAATTAAAATTTTATTATTTTAAAAGATATTTTTTTGTTTTGCTTTTTATTTGTAGCTGCATTTGTGTCTAATAAATCTATTATTTTTATTGTTTTTCCCCCACAAGTATTTTTATTTCCATGTGATGTTTTTACATTTTTCTGTCTCCTGTTTTTACATTATGCATTTCTTCTTCATTATGCAAATGAAGTGGGCGGTCCTTCTTGGGTTAGCTCCTCTCCTATTGGTCATTAAACAGGAAGCAGCAGGAATTATGTGGGTATTGATTGTGTTGCCTCACTTTAGTTTAAAACAAAAGGCACATGTAGTGTTTTTCCTTCTTGCCTTTTGTTTTAAATTAAACTTTTTTTTTGGGGTGGGGGGTCATTTATATTTTTCTGCTTTTATTTTAAATCATGTCAGTTCTTCCATTGTGTTGCAAATGTAAAACTTTTATTCTGTGTTTAGTAACACAAAGTATATTTTTCTGCTTTTATTTTTAATTATGTCAGTTTTGGTCTTCCATAGTTTGAGTATTAATTGTGTTGCAAATGTAAAACTTTCATTCTGTGTTCAGAAACACAAACTTGTGAAGTGATGGGAGCCTAGAATCAAACACTGCAGGGTCTAAATAAGCAGGTTGTTCCTGTTCTCTGGGAACACAGAGTTTAATATAAACTCACAGGTGCCTCGTTGTCTGCAGGGTTTGGCCATGGAACCAACGTGGTGAATTACGAGGGACTTGCCTGGCACGAGTACTGCTTCACCTGCAAGAAATGCAGCCTCTCTCTGGCCAACAAGCGCTTCGTCCTCAACGGAGACAACATCTACTGCCCCGACTGCGCTAAGAAGCTGTAAACAGCAWCTGAAATCAGTTTTAAAGCAAAAGTGATGCTTAAGAGTCACTTTGAGTTCAGCTTTGATTTAAAAATATAATATAACTCTTTATTAGCGTGCATGCAGCGTTCTGCAGTAGCTGTCAGTGACTGAAGTCTGATTTCTAATGTAGAATGTTTTTAGTGAGATTTTGTTTTCCTATAATCTGTTTCAAGATTTGTTTTGTTTTTTCTGTTTCGTGCCTTACTGGAACWTTTCCTTGGTTAAATACTGCTTCTCGAACAGCTTCCATTATAATCCGTCACATCTGTTTCAAAACAAGCATGTATTCAAAACCTGTTTGATGCAAAACAATAAAGAAAAGTGATAGGAAACTGAATCGTGACAAAAATATTCTTCCAAGACTTTATTGTTTCAACAGTCTGAATAATATCTGCTCTTACATATTTACAGTACAGGTTTTATTAGTGGACAGGGAGGTGGGATTGATACCAAATCTTCACAGAGTCACCCTTGATTGTCGAGGCAAGGACACGTTTAGTTTACTGTAATGCAATAAAATCAAAACAAAAAAAAAAAACTAAATCTCAATCTAAGGCACAGTTCTAGTTTATCACTCGAGTCAATTTTGAGGACAGAAATCTAATCTGTTCTGTATTGGAGAMCCAAAAAATGCAGCAGGATCTGAAAAATACACACATTATGAGTTCAAGCAGCAACTATTTACGCTCCCGAACAGGAGGTACTCATGAGCGGACAGTGGAACAGGAAGGACAGTTTGTGTAAAAGTCRCATAAATCACAGAAACGTGGGTTTTATTTGCTCTTCTAGTTTGTCCATACAGTAAAGCTACTCCTTTAACCTTTCACCTACGATAGTGCAGTCAAATTTCATAAGAGAAAAGATGAATGCTGAAAGCGGGCAGATATTAGATACATTATRTTACATTCACTGAGCTTTAAAATCAAAGCTGAGATCATTTAAGCTGTACAAAGAGATTTTAGTTATCCCCAGAAAAGGCAAAAAGTTCTCAAACCTTATATTTATCACTTGAACCAGAAAAACGATGAGATAAAATGTTTGTTGAATCTGTTCTACAGTAGATTAGTTGAAACCTGAGCTGATGAGCCAATCGTTGAACATTTCACCCCCTGTTTTTGGATACAACATAAAAAAAAATCTGACATTAAAAGCACCACAAGGCACAACCGTGACTCATCTGATAGGTCAATTAACTTTACGCACGATTAAACGCCTTGTTTGAATATAACAGTTCTGCACTTGACCTTCTGCTTTGCAGAGCACGGGCTAAGAGGGTTTGATGTTATTTTTTTGTGTGGGGGTCCCAGAGTAAACAAGCAGAATGCAGCCGACCTAGAACAAGTCACCGCTCGAGAGGGAAACCAATCAGGAKACTTCATTCATCCTCAACCTGAGCCGCTTCGTCCTAAACGTGGCTTGGATGACCTAATACTGATTAAATTCACAAAAACAGTAACATTTAAATAAACAGAGAAATGCTTTTTCATTCACAAACAGCTCATTCCTCCAAAAGGAAAAGCTGAAATGYGGTTTGTCAGATGCAGCAGCWGAACTGGRAACGTCACAACGAGCAGAATCTAGACGAAGGAGCAGATCGCTTCAGATCTGAGCCTTCGCTTCAGCAAAAACAACAAACAGGTGAGTTCTGAAGCTCCGGAGCAGCTGAATCTAACTGCACCTGCGTGTTATAAAGGGTCGACGTTACTGAAGCAGCTGGGTGTGGGGAGAGAAGAGGAATAAAACCAGATCCAACTGCTGTAAATTACAAAAGACACAAGAACAACAATTCTATTCACACATTGTAAAAATAACAATATTAATAATGTGAAAATCTAAACTGAACACAAACCCAATTTCAACACACCGCGGGAACTTTGGAGAACTTTTTGTTGGAACTTTTCTTGTTTAGGAGGCCATCTAGAGGCCAGACCAAAAAAAACAAAAACAAAAACAAAAAAAAACAAAGGGAAATCCACGCATTAAGCTGTGCGCATTATGAATTTACCACTTTCGCACTTTAGAGTTGGGAACCAGAAGGTAAGGCCATGCTGCTGGATGCTGCATGAAAAGGCAGCCAGTCAAGGAAATTCAGACGAACCACAAGCAAAAAGTGAAATCCCACCGAAACAGAACAGAACTTAATGACATATTTTCAGTAACTGACATTATAATTTACATGACCTGATGTGCATTTGTCCTGGAATATTCTCAAAAACACATGAAAATAACATTAACAAAGAAACAAAAGAAAAAAGTAATAAATTAAAACGATGCACCCCTATCAAAGGCAAAACTTACAAAAAAAATTACGTTTGGACACAAAGTTGAATTAGGAACACGAGGGGGAAGATACCTGAAGCAAGAACGGTGGAAGGAAATGAAATAGTTCCCTAAAGCGTGATTTTCTCAGATAAACATTTTGTCTGTTTCTTCCATGTGTGGGATGCAAACGTAGCACTTAGGGTGGTCTTCCCACTTCACCTTGTGCAGCTTCCACAGGAAGAGGAGGAGGAGGAGRAAGAAGAGGAAGCTGTTTGGAACGAACAGAAGATTCAGGAACCTTTTGGAGTGCAACTTTACAAAAATCATCACAACGGCCGCAGCATCAAATTTCTGCAAAACAAAAACAATTAAACTGTAGAATTAGAAAAAAACAAAGCAAAAAACAAACAAACAAAAAACAATAAAAAGACCTTGATCAAAAATAAAAAAGTGAATGTGACTCCTCACCTGGCATGGCTTCTATGGGTTGGTTAGAGGAATGCAGGGCATTGATGGGGGTCGCCTTGTCCTCGAAGGCCACCCTGGTTCCGTCTCCGCTCCCGTCACAGTTGATTAAAACCTGGTTACAGTCCTCGGACTCCACCAGAGGCCGCGTTTTGGAATGAAGGTTAACGTCGATGAGCTCCTCGAAGCTCCACTGGTTCGACTTGCCGTTGACGCTGGAGACGAACTCTGCTTTGGTGGACGAGTCCTGTCCGTTCAGTAACTCTGAGTCCTCAACAAGGTGGCCTTTAGGGACCGGGCTGCAGGAGGRAACATTAAATTACAGGATAGTTCTACAGGATCTCTCCACATTTATWCACTACCTTGAGGRAAACTTTTGCCAAAACTTTAACAAAAAAAAGAAGGTATTTATGTCTCCGTACCTCTCTGCCTGAGTCTCGTCTGTGCCGTTGTTGTTCTCTTTGTCCTCCGTCTCTGACTGTCCGTTCACACTGCCCAGAGGGTCTTCTCTGTTCATCACAGGYTCATCAGACGACAGATCTTTGTAATCCTCCATATCATCCATTTCATCTGCAGCAACAACGGACACAGAAAATAAAARTCCCTGGTCATTTCAAAATTTACCAATAACAAATACACAAAAGAAAAACAGTTTGCACTAGTGACTTGGTTGATGCACCAAGGTGTGGATTTGAGCAACTAGAACTATCTGATATCATTAGTCACGTTACCAATAATTAGAGCTGGGCAGTGTGCAAAGTCGTACCAAACACTGGTTTTTCTGTGTACCTGCATACCGGTTTAAATACTCAAAAAACAAAGAACCAAGCTTCCTCCAATCAACTGTTTCACAGGGGACATTTTTCCTCGCTGCACAGCTGAAACCAGGAAATGGACTGAATTTGTTTTTAAATGTAAGTTTAGCAACTTAACTGACTTACAAGTACTGATRSTAGAGCTAAACCCAGATTRTTGTTGTTTATTTACGTGTTACGTTTTTAACTGTGACTTTACATCTCCTGTGAAAAGATGTGGCTACATGTTCCAACTGAAGGCCATATGAAAGGTATCACCGTGGTTAGGGTAAGTGAAGCATAAGTCATCTGAAGATTCTCAACCAGTAGAAAATGAGGTTAAAGTGRGCCTATTATGRGGGTCTTAGCACAAGTTAGGATCCATCTGTGGGCTATACAAAACATGTTCATTTGATTTAATTCACAAAAAGAATCTCAGATAATGAAATTTTACCTTTTCATTTCTTCCTGTTCTTCAGCTCTCTCCAGAACGTGCTGTATGCAGAAGTTACTATGGAACCCCCCCTCCCCTATTCATTTGTTTACTTTAGCTCCGCCCCCCGACATGGTAGAAGTTTCCAAAGTGAAATTATTTTCACAAACTACAGCTTTCTTTGCAATATTGTTAGAACATTGTCATCAAAGATAAAAATAAAATGAATCCAGGCATCTCTGTTCTCTGTGGCTGCTGTAAAAACAGAACAACTATCGTCTTTTGAGGAAGTGGGCGGAGCTTCACCTCGGGTTGCTTCGTGAGGAGCAGGACTCTGGTTAAGGTTGCTAGGTGACTGTTATTGTGACGTCAGAATAACGTGCTTTGAGAAATACCATGTTTCTAGATACCTAAAAATACATATAATTACAGCTAAAAAACAGCTGGGTGCTTTTTTCTGGTGTTTGGACTGCTTCTCTAAGCAGTAGAGACCCAAAAATAAGTTTAAAAACATGAAGAAAGTGAGTTTTGCATAATAGGCCCACTTTAAAAACAAATGGGAATGCATGGAAAAAAAATTTCAGCTGTGTTAAATTAGCCTGGTAAAAACCAGACCCTCATCCTTCACTTTGCTTCGTACGAGGGTCTGGACTCGCTGCTATAGAAAAACGATTCTTGCTGGAGGCGTGGCCTCTGCTGAAGTTTAAACTGATTGTATCGGTCGCGATGTATGTGTGCCAGCTACACTGTGAAGGAGGCTAAGCTAAGAAGTTAACCGGAAATTGGAACCAGAATTTAATTTAGTTTGGAAGCCTTAACACAGACTGGCTTCATTCACTTCCTCCACTGCCGTATGCTAAACTAACTAGCAGACACTGCGCAGAAAATCGACGTCGTTCAAAACTCCGCCTTCTGGTTGCTGATTGGCCCAGGTGAAATAAACTACAAGCAGACACGGCGCAGAAAATCGACATTCTGTTCTCTGATTGGCCCGAATAAAATGCTCCAGAAGAAATCCTTGTCTCTGGGAGAAATCCCAGACGGAGCAGTGAAGAGAAACTAGAATTGAGTGGARCTGCGTAAGAAGGGCCAGGCTATTGTTAAATACTATGATGTAAAATTATGCTCATACTGCCCAGCACTACCAATAATATCAAGTCGTGAGCAAATTATAAGCATTTATTTGGACACAAATAAATCATCTTGACATTTAATTAAAAAAGGAGCAACACAACAGATTTAAATGTTAAAAAGGAAACACCTACTTTTGGTTTCACCCATTATCTGGTCCTCATTTTCATCTTCATTCTCCTCTGAACATTTATCTTCATCCTTCTATAAAGGATCAAGAAGTCAGAAAACAAACGTCTCAAATAATGCGTGAGCTGATCAATGATGAGCTCACCTTTAAGGCGTTTTGGTCCGCTTTCCTCGTCCTCTTCATTATTTCATCGATTCTCTAAATTTGAAACAAAACAGGTTTTATTTATCAGACACCCAAAYGTTTGCAGCCACTTGCATTCCAAGTTCTGTTCCAAGTACTTTTTTCCTTTCCATGCGCTCCTGCTGGTTCTGCTGCATGATCCGGTCCCGTTCCTGTCGGACCCTCTCTGCCTCCTCCTGGGCCTTCGCCTCCGCCTCCTCTCGTTCCTTCTGGAGCTCCACCTGCCTTTTCGCTTCTTCTTCTGCCATTTTCAGCTTCTCCTCCTCGGCGAGGCGAGCCGTCTCTTCCTCTTGAACTCTCCTTTCCTCGGCCAGCCTCTTCTCCTCCTCTAGGCGTTTCTGCCGAGCCTCTTCTGCTAAACGCGCCTCTTCTTCTTTTCTCAGTCTGAGACCAGCAAAAGTAATAATTAAACTGTTTTTAGAGAATCTAAACGTAATTTTGTCGACTTTAAATTCTTACTTAGATTTAGAAAAATATAATTATACTCCTGAGGCTCATAAATGACATAAAATCTGATTTGTCAGTATAAGTATTTAGTTTTCCTCTTATTTTATTGTAAGATTCCCCTAAATGCTTTAATAATCTCACCTTTCTTCTTCTTCTCTCTGTATCCTGAGCTGCTCCTCTCGCTCCTTCTGCTCCCTCATCAGTCGGCGGTTTTCAGCCAGGATCTTTGCTGCCTCAGCGGCCGAGTTTGTGCCAGCTGTAGGTTTGGAGTCTGACAGGTAAAAACCAACATTTAGCCTCTTCTGTCATCATTTTATCAATTTTCAGGCTCTGTGTACGGCATCCGTCTGTTTACACAACAATAAATAATGAGCGAGAGGACGGAGGAGCTGATAGGTCAGGGAGGTTTGCTGTCACATGGAACTTCTCTTATACAGMTGGTTAGCGATGGCTAACACAGCGCTGAGCTGTGGACGTAGCGCGGCTCTTCAACATCGTATCTGGGAGWTGTCTGTGAATTTCAGCAACATTTCAGGCTTTGGTTTTCCTGTGCGAATGCTCCGTGTAAAAAGAAGATTCAAAACAGGCCTAAAAACCTTTTTTTACTCTGTGTTTTTAATGATTTCCAGCACGACGGCTCAGTGGTTAGCACTGACGCCTCACAGCAAGAAGGTCCTGGGTTCAATCCCCGGTTCGGACCTGGGGTCTTTCTGTGTGGAGTTTTCATGTTCTCCTCGTGCTTGCATGGGTTTTCTCCGGGTACTCCGGTTTCCACCACAACACAAAAATATGTACAATAAGTTGCCTTCAGGCCCAGACCTCCTTTGAAAAAGAGATCTGCGATCTCAACAGGATCTGCCTGGTTAAATAACACGTGTTTTGCTTTTATCTTTTAATGTGAAATCTGTATTGTATGGTCCTTGTTTTGTTGCTGTTTTATATACATTTTTTATTGTAGCACCAGATTTTTGTAAATGTAAAGTG